GAAGTTGGACACCCAACCAACTGAGCCACCCAGGCACCCCTACATTATTATTATTTTTTAAATATTTATTTACTTGGAGAGCAAGAGAATGAGAGTAAGCAAGCAGGGGAGGGGCAGAGAGAGAGGGAGAGACAGAATCCCAAGCAGGTTCCATGCTGTCAGCACAAAGCCCGATGTGGGGCTTGATCTCACAAACTTGATCTCACATGACCTGAGCCAAGATCAAGAGTCAGGCACTCAACTGACTGAGCCACCTGGGTGCCCCGTTAACAAATATTATTGGCCATCACCTCGGTCCCAAAACTGTTCTAAGCAATTAGACTATAAGAATGAAAGAGATATGGGCATTGACTTCAAGGGTCTTGAAGTCTACATTCTTTATTGGCAAACTGGTTATTTTTAGAATCATCAAGTCATGATCAAAGAGTCTTTGTTAAATATATGTAATACAATAATAAATACATTTAAAATGTAAATGTGTATATTTGAGTTCCTATCACTTTTCTGTGTAAATATGAGGGCATTTCAAACAATATGTTTTCTAATGTATTTGTCTTCCAGTAAAGTTTAAAGTACAAAAGTATTTTGGAGAGGGGTGCCTGGGTGGCCCAGTTGGTTGACTGTCTGACTTTGGCTTAGGTCATGATCTCATGGTCTGTGAGTTAGAGCCCTGCATTGGGCTCTCTGCTGTCTGCACAGAGCTCTCTTCTGATCTTCTGTCCCCTTCTCTCTTTGCCCCTCCCCCACTGGTTCTCTCTTTCTCTCTCTCAAAATAAACAAACTAAAAAAAAATTTTTTTTAAGTATTTTGGAGAATGAACAATACAAACTTCACAGGAGATCTTAAATGCCAGGATCCTCTTTTTCCTAAAGAGTTAAGCTCTGGTTTCACAGCCTTTTTACTCTTGTAAACTCCTGGGTAAAGCTACTCACTCTGAATCATCATTAGTTTTAATCACAGCTTTTTCTTGAGAGGTGTTCAAAGTCCTCTAAAATAGCCTTTAAGTATACAAGTATCCCTGGACTCTGAACTAAGTGTGATAGACTTCCTAAGAGACCTGAGCCTTACCTGCAGAGATTACTTAAATGTGCCCAGCCTGTCTACTGAATCAGTCATAGACAGGACCAGTAGAGAGATGTTAGTGGATGCCAATGCAGTATTTTCATTATTTGACCTTATACAAGTTACATAGCTGTTCTGGATTTGCTTTTGTATCTATGATAAACTGGGCTCCTAGATGACATGTCTTGAAAGTATGTATTAATGCCAACTCTCAAATTCTGTGATTCTTCTAGAGTTGAGGAGGACTGTTTGGTCACCTGAGTTTAAAATAGATGAGAAGGAAAACTAGAAACTAAAGTTCAATATATCAAATAAGATACTATTACAATAATCTGTAGGGAGATGAAGACCCATATTATATTAGTGATCACCATGGTCAGCAGATATAAAATAAGACAAAGGTATGAGGAGACTATGGCTTTCCAGAAGCCACCTCCTCTTAATCTTCCCTTCCTTCTTTGTTCCCGTTCTACTGCATTCTTCCTCCAGGAACTTCCTTCAATTTGTCCACATGAGGGGGCAACAGTGATTGCTCTGAAGGGAGAAAATGAAGCGACTCTTGCTTCTATAAAGCATATAGTACATTTGGCTTGTGGCCACTTAATCTAAGTGCAGTTATGAGGCCTTTCAGACAGTGTAATGAGAAACAAATGGAACTAGCAGAGGATTTTGGACAAATCATATAGACACAGTATTTTCATCTGCGGAATGATGCCTATAATTAATTCTGTGTCTCTGTCATCCCCAGAGCTTGACTTGCTTTATTGTCAGTAGGCAGCTTGTTTCATGCTCAGCTTACTTGACTCACAGCCCGCACACAGTGAATATCCAGTTAACATTCATTGTTCAGGAAAAAAAAAATGAACCTTGTATGCATCAGTCCCTGCGCAGGTCTCTTTCACACACGTTTACTTTTAATCTGTTCAGCACATTTGTGATATAGGTATCACTACTCTACTTTTTAAAGATGTGGATAAAGATATTTAGAAATTTAGTGATCAGGATCATAATTTTAGTAAAATGGAGCCTTAGTTCTGCCTCTTATTTCTGTCAGATTATTTTTCTAAGCCTTGGCTTCCTTCTCTGTAAAGTGGGAATTTCTAAGAGTTAGGACAGGGTTTGTAAATTTAGCAAAAAACAAAACAAAAATCAGGAAGTTCCCAAATGGAACATTCTTTTATTAAAAAATTATTCTACATTTACCTGAAATTCTGACTTTGGGAACTCCTGTATATTTTATTTGGCAACAGTATCTTAGCATTATGGTTATGACAATGCATGTAAAGAACTTACCTCAGTCCCTAGCACTTAATGAGGGCTCAGGAAATGCGATGCTTATTAAATTTTGGATCTGATTCCAAAGTCCTTTTTTTCACCACAAACACGCTGAGCTCAGTTTCCACTTAAAATTTCAGTGAAGCGAGTGTGATATCACTTTAAGTTCATATTAATGCTTTACCGCTTCCTACAGCGCTTTCAAAGCCCGACCCATGGCGGAAAGCTCTTGGGGAAACCCACAGAAGCTCTGGCTGTTGGGGGTCGTCGCTGCAGTCCCAGCACAGGCTTCTTCAGCCGACCAGCCGGGAAGGCCACCCTGGCCCCGCCCCCGCGCCTTCTTGGCCACTCAGCGGCCGCGCCGCGCTCCGCCACACTCCTATAGGTCCTGCCGGGACAGGCGAGGCCTTTCCATTTTTCCCGCCTTCCCAGCCCCTCCTCAGCCCGAAACCGGCACTGGCCCACCACGTCTCCGCCCTGCCTTCCGTGCGAACCCCGCCCTTCCGGACACCGCATCTCCCTTCCTTCCCACCCGCAGTTCAGCAAGGCCTGCGAGGTCCCGGGCCCGCCCTTAGGTAGGAGGTGGGAGGAGATACCGGGAGGCGGGCCGAGCCCCCTCCGGAGGTGGCCGCGAGAGGCGGGGACTGGAGGGAAGGGCGGGGCTAATCTCCTTGGCGCCGCGTTGCCATGGCAGCGGGGGAGGGTGCAGGGAGGGGGAGGAAGCGAACGGGAGGGGGATGTGGTGCTGCCGCGGCCGCCACCGCAGCTGCCGCTGCCTGCTCTTTGCCGCGTCTTCCCGGAGGCGGCTGCTGGAAGCCGCCGGGAGCAGCTGTGGTGCTCTGCCATATTGTGTCTTCCCCTGCCCGTTCCTTGCCTCCCCGCTGCGGCTGCAGAGCAGACGGTGAGTTCCCGCGGAGTAGCGCCCTCCTGGGCGGGCGCTGCCGGGCGTCCGCGCTCCCCGCCCCGGCCCGCGGCAGTGCTCCCGGGCGCGGAGGCAGCGCGTGCGGCCGGCTCCCGGCGTGGGGCGCGGAGGCGGCTGTCCCGTGACGCGCCCGGACATTTTTGTCCTGTGAGGAATTGGCGCCGGCACGGGGTTCTCCCCTGCGCGCGGCTTGAGTCCTGTGTGGGTTCCCGGGGG